AGCTGCTACCATGTGAGCATGCAGTCTCTTGATATACATGGTGAAGTGTGCTCAGTTGAAGGCTTCACAGCAGGATCGCCTTCTCTTGTATGCATAGGCAGACCAACACACCAGTGGGTCAATAAATTTTTTCAGCCATTCTAAGAAATCTGCGTTTTCTCTGTTTCAGGATGGAAGTTTATACAGGCAGCCCCGACGTCCTCGACGACCCTACTTGACAGAGAGCACAGGAAGTCTACCGTCCAGCCCGTACCGGCTCCCTGATGACGAGGCTTATGAGACCACACAGGAGTACGCCTCTTCACGGGAACCCATCAGAAGCCGGCGTCGCCCGCGACGCAACCGACTCAACGGACATATCTCACAGCGCTCGGCGGGTTTACGGGACTACAGCTCACAGAGCTTCAGCCAGTCAGAAGAGGAGGAAGAGGACGAGGAGGAAGAGGATGGTCACGGGGAGAGCACGCCTTTCCTCAGTATGCAGAACATGAACATGGACCCGCCTCTAAATGTCCCGGGTTTCCGTTCGTCATCCGGTGCAGACACACGGACTCACCGCGGGCTGAGTCGGCCAGGGACGCGCAGCAACGGGCAGAGCCGCGGCTCCCAGTCGCAGCGCTCCAAGGCCGACAACATGCCCCTTTAAGACTTAACCTCCCTCCGACGCCCACCATTACACCCCCGCCACCTCCCGCCCTCTCCACTTCACACACTCCCCTTCCTCTTACACACAACCCGTGGACTAGAGACCTGCACCTAGGAGAAATATTTTTATTTTGTATAACAGACAGATATTCTAAACAAATGAAATATTTATTTTCATTTCAGCAAAAATTGTCTACTAGCTAACAGCAAAGACTTTTTTTATAACGGGGGGGAGGGGATATTTATATGTAAAGTTTTTTGATTTACAGCATTATGAGAGATGAAAAAAATAAGAGAATTACGTGCCAATTTTTTCACAAGTTAGATAAATAGAATAATATTGTGGTGCCTTTTGCTGTATGCTGAAGTCGGAGGTCCCATTGAGTTTTTGTAGCCTTTCTTATAAAGACTCCTCGTTTTTATAGAGACCAACCCTCTTCCTTCCTTTTGCTTTGGTTTGTTTCTCTGATTTGGGATCTTCCTCTTTTTGAACTGTGATCTGATTATGTCATCATGCAATATTGATTCCTCCTGTGTAAAAGGTGTCTGTTTACATGAGTATGACCCACGCGATGCGCTCGTTTCACAGGGACATTTAGTCACTGACGCAACCAAGATGTGTAGGGTAGTTTCCTCGGATGAACACACATCGGTCATTTATGTCCTCGTTCGCTGCCTGTCAGTCATTTCTTGTTATTTCTGTAAAAGCAGGAACGTTGGGGAGTTGTCGAGGGAAAGTGACTCCAGATTCCTCGTGTAGGTATTCAGGGTGCTGCCATGACATTGGTGGTGGTTGTAGTGTGCGTGTACTGTGTGTGTGTGTGTGTGTGTGTGTGTGTGTGCGTGCCTGTATCCATTCTGCACGCCTCATGAAGCCTCATTCGGTTGGCGCCTCTGTTCACCGTGGAGGGTGTGATCTCTGTTGTTTGACTGTCACGCTCCTCTCCATCGATCCTCACGCTGCCAGAAGCTCCATTGCACTGTAAGAACCTCCCTCCGTGAGCAGTCATTGGCCAGGGAGCTGCCGATCCAAACCGAACCTAACCAATCCAGTTGTAATCCAGCCTGACTCTGGCCTCCCGTGGACTGCCTAGCCCGCTCGTTTCCTATGCCAGCAGCTTAGAGCCGCACTGTGTCTCAGGACTTCCCCATCACATCACAGCCAAAAAGACTCAAAGCAGAGAACGCACGTCATCTCAGTCACAGTTCAGTTCGCAGGTCAGATCGACATCCCCTCACTCCCCTTCTTTTCGCCATCTATCAGGTTTCTCGCGCTTACTTGTGGCTAAAGGACGGTAACCAACGCGTTTGATTAAACTTTTGGAATCAGTAGGCGGATTCAGTTACTTTTTTCTTTAACTTCAAGAAGTTATGTGTGCGTTTAAGTGAGCATGTGTGTAGCCGTGTTAAAAAGATGAAGTTGTGCAGAGACGGCATCTGTTTGCGCTCTGATGCAGGGGCGTAACCTTGGAATTCTGCCCCCACCACTGAAAGGTGGATTTCCCTCTGGGTTTCCCATTTTCGCTCTTTTTCCTTTTAAAAAAAAATGTGTTTGTTTTCTTTTTAAAAAAGGATATCCCACCGAAAGCTACATGGGCTCACATTTTGCCACACTAGTGACGGTGCTGCTCCGATCGGGAAGAAGCACCATGTGCGGGTTCACATTGCTGGGAAGAGAGTTTCCGAGGCTGATTCTACCTTTTTAGTTAGCTCACACAGTTGTATATGATAATCCTGATTACTGCATCCTTGATTTGCATTCCTATACCTTTTATCAACTGAACTTTATTTGCTTGGTCACACTGACTGACTGAATGATCTGTTATGTGTGTCTCCGTCTGCCCCTTCCACCCACCACATCGCAACCTCACCGTCACGTCTTCCTCGCCCTCCTACAGAAGCAAATAGCAGACAAAGTTAAGTCCAGTGAGTAAAACCAAACAGCACACTACCAGTAGTCCGATCATGTCAGAAACTCTTCCACTGCAGATGTACATCAGGTTCTGAGACCCTTAGAGAGACCCTTTGAAGTTCACTGAGGAAAATGATACTGTGTTAGATACAATGTGTCCCGATTAGACTTCATTTCCAATATGTAGAGTTTTGTTTTCTTTCTTTTCCCCCCCACACAGGCAATGCATGGATCACAGATATAGAAATTATCCCTCAGATTTAGGGGGAATCGTATGATATGAAAATACAATTTGGGTTCACGGCCCAGTGGTCTGGCTAGTTTTGTCTTACTATCACTGTAATCAATCTGGGATTTGCAAACGATTTGAAATTACTGCAAGTGAGGATAGTGTGCTTCTAGAGCTAGTCGAATTGTTGACAACCCCACCCTCTTTCTCCTCGACCCCACCCCACCCCTCCCCCGCGCTTCCCACCCACCTTTTTTACGAACACACGTACTTCTCTCACGCACGTACATCCATATCCACAATGAAGCACACACACTGAGCACACAGACACACAAAACCGTGCATACACAGACAAACTCACACAGCCCCTCTCATGTTTGTTTGTCAAGCAGTTTGTCTTTTTTACCTACCAACCTACTTTTTCCTCCTCCTACTCCTCATCTTCCTCCCCTCCTCTCAACCCCAAATCCCCTGCATGTCCTAGTGGTACTGGTAGTTGGGTGCATGGAAAAAGCAGCAAGCAAATCTTTTTTTTCCACTCGGTGAAAAAAAAAATAATAATAACAATAATAAAATGAAATAAAAAACGTGTCCTCATTTTAACATTCAGCAATAAATCCCCTTCTCTTCATGTCCATCATTCTTGGAATATGCTAGAAGATTTTTTGCAAGTTTTATCAAAAACATACTACTTGTAAAAGAAGAAAAATCCAAAACACCCCTTCATATGAAAAATAAAACTTTATTCCTACCATTTTTGAAACAGTCCTGTCATCTTTGTAACTGAAATACTGCGTGATTTCCTCTTTAACAAGCAGAAGGTTTGAGATGATCAGAAGCATATCCACTCTCACTGAGGTCATCTGAAGCCTAGGGCAGGAAAGAAAATAGCTGGAAACAGGGTTTGGAGCAGTTGGACCTTTCAACTCACAGAGATTACTTACACACAAACACTGACCACATTCTTTGAAACTTTAACCACGTGCATCCACAACTGTAATAGTAAGGAAAGTTTTCATTACTACTAAAGGTTTAACTGTTCTAAAGGAGCAAGGAGCTAAACGATCACATCTTCAGTCTGTTACCAGAACATCAGATGATTATTGTGTATTTAAGCTCTCAGTTTTTAATTAATCAGGTATGCCGACACTATTCACAGCCCACATTATGACATGAACAACTAATAATGTCCATTATTATCTAATTTACAGTTGATCGAGAACAAGCTAGGTTTCTGAAACGTTTGGAAGCCGGGAACCAAAAGTTACTTACTGTGGACCAAAGGGTCCTAACACTAACATACAGCACACATTTACAACCATTTGTACTCTTAGCTGCAGCTGAAACTGTTTGTAAGACTTTGCCTAAATACTTCAAATACTTGAGGCACAATGTGTCACAATTCTGCAGAGGTTTCTACGGGATTAGAGATAACAAGGGAAGGAATAAAAAGGAAAATATGCACTCTTTATAAGAATATTATCTAGAATATTACAAAACAACCTTGATTTGTGAGCTCTTTGGCTTAAGAGCTGTGAGCCCGGCTGGGATGTTCAGATAAACAGGTATTTTGATTCAGATTCATGTTGATGGTGATGACACACATTTTCACACAAAGAAACAGATATAATTTGCTACTATGTACATGTAGGGATGTAAGACAGAGAGGAGCCACAGTTTATGCCTCCAAACTGCTACAAACACTGAGGAGGGAGCGTTTAGGTAAGATTGGTTGGTGATTGTTGTCTTAGGGTTTTCCCAAACTGATTCACACTTGTTTTCCATGACAACTGTTGTAACACCTTAGTGTCAGGATTGCAGACACACCACATTATTTAAATGCAACCGTTTTTAATCAGAGTTCTTGTCTGACCTGATAGGTGTGCGGATCACAGGAATCTGCCCATGAAAAGATTGCCAGGTGATGAAGTCATAATTAAGCTGCTAAAAAAGAAAAGATTAAGTGGAGATGTAGGGCGGCACAGAAGGAAGTTCTGTTTCCAAACTGATGTCTGGTTATTCATATGCACAAGATGAACTGAATGAACTAGTGAAGTTTCATACCCACACTGATATGTTTTACATGGTATCTTCTCTGTGATTCTGGGGTAGTGACACCAACAGCTGAGTCACTGATAAATGTTATTAGTTTTGTATCGTCTTCATTTCTTATGAAACACATTGATGTGTTTCCCATTGTTTGTGGGTGGAATTTCTCTTTGTTTCACAAGTGGGTGTATCCATGCTTCTCGGCAGAACCCGAAGCAGCCTCCTCAGCCAGAGGGCTCAAAGGAGGAGCTTCAGCTACAGAGGAAACCTTCCTGATAGACTGACTCACTGTATTTTATCTTTAATTCTTGAGTAGAGAGTTTACTCAGACTAAATGAGACAAAACTGTGCTGGACAACGCTCCTCAACTAGATAACAACAACTATGTGATTATTCCGTGAAATAGAAAGCCTTCATTAAAAACAGGTAAGCAAAGAAAACTGCTGACATCAACAGCTTCATTAAACCTTTTAGGGTTGAAGTCATGGTAACCCTAACCTCTATATTTGGGAAGAGACCAAAACAGAATTTTTAGAAAAACTGTGATTTTTTTTATGTTTGTTTGTTAAAATTATGATTTTCTTTCTACCCTCAATGGGAAAACAATATAATAAAAGCCAAAAATGACATATTCTTATTGGCTCGGGTCAGAATAGGAGTTAGAGTTAGGAATAGTGAAGTTTGGGCTGTCACTGATTTAGACCTAAGAAGGTAAGTTTTTTAAAATGACATCATCTTTTCAGTTTCTTGTTAACACAAGGAATTTGTAGACTGCGTTTGTTTATCTGCTAATAAAAATGTGCTTAACTCTTTTTCATACCTCAAAGTATGACTAAATTTAACTCTAAATAAATGTTCCTTTTGAACTTGTGATAATTATCTGCTAAAAACCACACTACTAAATTTCAATCAAAGCACATGGTTTTTGATTGGTGGAGTCAAGATTGCGCATGGCTTTGAAATGACCAGAAAAAAATTGCTTTGCATCTCAATGCTTACATGCCAAATGAGCCAATTATACTGGCTGTTAATCATCATGTGATCAAAAAGAACTCAGCTACAATCTATTTTACGCACTCGTTTGTGAGATCACTGTTACATATGATCTTAGTTCATCTCTCTTTTGCAAATCTTCCATTTCCTCATCATGCTTCTTCACTTCATTTCTCTGCACAGCTTTGCCTCTCGATCCAGATACACATAAATTCGCTATTGTACATTTAATAATTGTTTTATATTTTGAAACTCAGAAATTGTCAGATGTCAGATTTCTTCAGTGTAAATTGCTGTTTGTGTATTTGCAGCTGAATGGCACGGTGTTACTTTCGCTGGCACAGGGTGTTAATCTGTGTGTGCACGCCTTGCATCTTCCTGGCCCTGCTCTTTGTCTACGTTGGTCTCACGGTGTGCATGAGCATGAGGAGCATGACAGCACCAGCGAGTGAAATCATGCCAAAGAGTTCTCATTTTGTGGCCAATGGAATTTTAAGAAATAAGATCTTCGTCTCACTCCCTAAAATTTTCTGGGAGAACCAATGTCAGAAAAAGGCTTTTTGGAACCAGCTCCAGCTGGTCGTTGACCGTCAATTTAACCCCATCCTGCACCCCCACGAAGCCAAGGGATTAATGAAGAATATCAGCTTTGATGATTTCCTGCTGAAGAAGAGTTTCTCTGCAGTTCGCAGACTCAACAACATGACATATAATGTTGACGAGCTACCACAACAGGTGCAAGACTTCACCAAGTACATGCAGACAAGAGACTACCCGGTTCTCCTCCAGCCAGGTGGAGAATGTGGAGCTCAGGGAAAAGACGAGCGGGAGGACCCTCTGATTCTCTTCGCCATCAAAACAACACTGGATAACTTCAACAACCGACAGGCTATTCGGCAGACCTGGGGCCAGGTGGGATGGGTGGCAGGACAGAAGATAAATGGCAGTGGCAGAGATAATGGTGGAGCCTATGTCCGCAGGGTGTTCCTGCTGGGCAAGCAAAACACCAAAGAACCGGGTGTGGATGTGTCTGCGTTACTCAAGTTGGAGAGTACGCTCTATGGAGATATTCTGCAGTGGGACTTTGAGGATACATTTTTCAATCTCACCTTGAAGGATGTGCTCTTCTGGAGCTGGTTCTCACACTCTTGCAAGCAGACCCACTTTGTCTTCAAAGGAGATGATGACATCTTTGTCAACACACCAAAACTGATAACCTACCTCCAGATCCAGATGGAGAAGCCGCATGTGAAGAAGAACATGCACAACTTCGTGTTTGGGGACGTCATAGGAGCAGCTTCACCCAACCGAGTCAACATCTCAAAGTACTTTATCCCACACAGCTTCTACAAAGGGTTATACCCCGCGTATGCAGGCGGGGGAGGGTTGGTGTACTCGGGTCAGTTGACCAGACGTCTGCACTTAATTTCTAAAAGAGTTCACCTGTTCCCCATCGATGACGTGTACGTAGGGATGTGCATGGTTCGGCTCAATGCCTTCCCCACGCACAACCACGCCTTCCTCATGTTTGACTTCCCCAAAAATGAAGGGAAAGACCCGTGTTCGTACCACACCATCTTAGCAATCCACAAGCGAAGCCCCAAACAGGTGATGAAACTTTGGGCTGACTTGAAAGAGACACAGGCACAATGTCGACATGTGCCTCTGAGAGTTGAAGAGAAGGAGAAAAACAAAATAACCCCCAGCACTTTGTAGCCACCTTGAAATGCCTCTGGGCAAGCTATACGGGCAGATATGTTGTTTAAGTTCAGTGGTCACTGAGACATAAAAACTGCATATAAAGAATAACAGGATTGCAGTAAAGGTTAAGTGGAAAAAGTACAGGCTTGGAAATGTAAAGGAACTCCTTTAAGGAAAATTCTAATAACCATTTTTGTAAAAAGGTATCCGAACCTTGTCCTACATTAATATAATATAAAACAATATTAGTACATGAGAAGGCAAATACTATTCCAATCTAAATTCTAATTCCCATGACAGCTTCATTCTGTTGTTTTTAAAAATAACCATTTTGTTGCCTACATTGTAGAGGGTGACTTTGCCTCCACACCTAAACAGTAAAATGGGACACTCAGGAGTAACCGTAATTTATGTGTAGTGGCTCAGCATAGGGAAAGCATAGCATTGTGGATTGTGGAAATCCATTGTGGAAATCCACATAGCATAGCATTGTGGATTTACACAACCGGATTCAACAAGATGTAAACAGTTTCACAAGCTATCTTCACTGATGTCTATCCTCTACACTAAAGTTAGAATTCGGTTAATTATTCCAAGTGTCATTAGGCTAACTTCAAATTCAGTACTTGCTACACTTGATGTAACCTAACACTGACCATGAGCACCTGCAGGCCCTTCGCACCAGTCCAACAAAGAGCTTTACAGCGGTCCCTTGTTTATCACGGGAGTTACTTTCTAAAAATAACCCGTGATAGGTGAAATCCACGAAGTAGCCAACTTTTTTTTTTTTTTTTACAATTAGTATAGATGTTTTAAGGCTGTAAAACCCCTCCCTACACAGTTTATACACTTTTCTCAGACAGGCATGGACATTTTCACACTTTTCTCTCTAGTTTAAACACTCTCAAAGTTCAAACCTTCGTAGAAAAATAAGTCCAGTATCATAGAATGAAACCAAAGATCAAACCCTGTTTTCAGGTCCAGAACACGGGATTTTGTTTCGCTAAATGTGCCTCATAATCCAAAAAATACGGTAACTTCTACCTTCCTTTAGCATGTCCAGAAGTCCAACATTTTGTGCGATGGTTAGCAATAGCATCGTCCTCTGCCTTTGGGTGCTACCGCAGGTGCGTTTGATGGTGTAAAACGTTTCGTTGACATTGTTGTGTTTGTTGGGGAGAAAACTTACAAACATACAGTCACTGTGTCTACTATTTATTTTTTCACTTCATAAGTCTATGTTCCTTACTTATATTTAAAACACTGAATAATGTGAATGACTAGCACTTTAATAATAATTTGCAAAGCATTACATTATTTTTAAATATCTTTTTTCATTTCTTTCATGCTCCTGTTTGTACTATGAAATTAAAATACCTTGCAGACTGGTTTGTTAAACTTTGACTACTTGCTTACTTTAAGCATGCAATAATACAAAGTTTGAATGCCTGCAAAATGGATAAGTATGAGGGAATGAGGTGGGGTCATTGTCTCACAAACAGCACTGTATAAAACAAAAACTACACACAATATTCGAAGCACATAGTGCACTGTGGGAATTTACGACTGTGCGTAAATCCCCACTAATATTGGTATGAACCAGCTCAGACACTAAGGCTACGTTCACACTGCAGGTCTTAATGCTCAATTCCGATTTTTGATCAAATCCGATTTTTTGTCTTCTCGTTCACACTACAAATAAAATGCGACAGCAAACGCGCTCTAGTGTGAACGCTCAAAGCGGCCCGCATGCGCAAAAGAAGACTTCACACACAACGCGCTCTGTTTAGACCCAGAGCAAACAATATTGTTTGACTGATGGCCCTTAGTATAAAGACTTCGGACTTTACGTTTCCCAGTTTTTGCTTTAAGTTTTGTTATTTACAAAATAATGTAGATAACCTAATAATTATCCTTATTGTTGTTTTAGAGGAGCGGTGCTTCAAAGGATAGTTGCAGATTTCTGTCAGAATCTGCAGATTATACAGTACAAATAAAATGCTAACGTTTCTCCAACGTTGTCTTCCCAACAGTTTCACTAACATCTACACTTATTGGCCAGGAAGCGTTTGCGATGTCTTCTCCGGAGCTGATAATTGGCGTCTTGTGTCACTGACGTAAAAGACGGATTTAATGCGACATGACCGTTCACACAGTCGCTTTCTAAAACATCGGATATGTATCGGAATCAGTACCACATACGAAAGTGACCCAGATCGGATTTCAAAATATCGGATTTGTGCCGTTCACACTGTCATACCATGATCGGATATGGGTCGCATAGGGTCCAAAAAATCGGATTTGATGCACTTTCGCCTGCAGTGTGAACGTAGCCAAAGTAGGGGCTGCATCAAGACACGAGGACTAAACCCCAATTCAACCAGACCCAGAACTGATCCGGAGTTAAAACAGGACTACAACAGTTCAAAATCAGGACTACTTAGGATTTAACCAAGACAGAACCAGAATCAGAACTAAATGAGCACTAAAAATCATCATAGACCTGCACTACACTTATTTTTTAATTCTACCAAAGTCCACTATTTAGATTGAGAAAAGTTTATATAATTATTTAGCCTTGTTGTGCAAACAAGCCTGCATAACTTAATAAATATAGAATTTGAAAAATAACAAACCTAAAAAGAAACACTAGGTACGAGATACATGAGTGACCTATGATACGGTGATACTTTTGGTAAACGACCATTTGACTAACATGTGTGTCTCACCTGCTCTTGTTCATCTCTGTTCTGTCCTCATTCTCTCTCTCCTCTCTGTTCTCTCTCTCCCTCTTTGTGCTGACAATCAAGCAACCTCAAAATATACAGTTGAAACCAGATATTTACAAACTCTTCAGATAAAACACAAACACTTTTTTAATTGTAACATCAAATCAGACTAAATGTTTATTTTTTTTAGATTGATAAATAAAAAAACATATTTGTTAACTTTAGAGTAAAGAGAGAAACTGTCTGTATTTCTTAATTGAAATGGCACCAAATTGTATTCAAACTGAGCCACACTTATGGAGCTCCACAGTTCTGTTCCTGGTGTTTTGGTTGACATCTCTTGATTGTTCCCATGTCAACAGAAACAGGCTCTGTGTTTTGCCTTATATGCATCCACAGCTGTGCCACCAGTTTACTCACATGGACTCTACGAACCTATCAGAAGCTTCTTCAGCTCAGAATGGAATCGTCTGGAGTTTTCTTATTAATTAACAATAAACTTAGTGTACATGTACTCCTAAATTTGATGAAAGTGATAAAAAATAGACAGCTCTGTCTCTCTTTATTCTGACATTTAACTAATTCAAAAGATATTTCAATATTTATTTATCCAAAACAAAACACGTTTACTCTAAATTTATGTTGTGCAGTAAAAAAATGTTCGTGGCTCAGGGGGTTGGGAAGCGCATCTGTAACCGGAAGGTCGCCAGTTCAATCCCCGGGCTCTCTGTCCTGGTTGCTGTGTCCTTGGGCAAGACACTTTACCCTACCGCCTCCTGGTGTTGGCCAGAGGGGCTGATGGCGCGATATGGCAGCCTCGCTTCTGTCAGTCTGCCCCAGGGCAGCTGTGGCTACAACTGTAGCTGCCTCCACCAGTGTGTGAGAGTGAATGAATAGTGGCCTTGAAAAGCGCTATATAAATCCAATCTGTTATTATTATTAATCTTTCAGTCATTTCTAACCCCCCCAATCCCACATGCATACTACCCTTTAGGGCTAAGCCCCGGGTGTATCAAATGTCTGCCTCCGCCTCTGGAGCTGATGCTAAATGCTATCATGCTGTCAGTAATTTCTGAACAGCTAGATGAAGTACATGAGAGTACCTACCTGCCCCTGAACCTGGTTTTGCCAGAGGTGTCTCCCAGGAACACTTCCCTTGTGCTTTAGGAAATCAGTTTTTTCCTATTTCCGTTGTGTTTTGTGTGCTTTTGCAGCATTATTCTTATTGCTGGTGTTTTCTTAAGTTGCAGTCCATTCGGCCTCTCAGGGCCACCGTACCATATAAATAAAACTGAATTGAATTGAATGAGTTAAACAAGACAACAGGTATTTGAGTTTCAGGTTACAGCAGCTGAGCTAGTTTTGCAGTGCCAAGGCTCAAAACAAACCAAACAAATGTGATATCTGTTTTATTGTAATATATATCTGGATTTTCATGTCTGAGTTCATAAATGATCAAGACTGAAACAATCTCATCCCATTACAAGTGAAATTAAAATCCAACTGATAGTGGACTACAGTATTAAACTTTAGGCGATAAATAAGAGATTGGCATTCATCCAAACACTGAGGCTAAAGGCGTCAGGCAAAGGTGGAGTTGGTTGGTGTTTCCCGTCCTTGACAGGGAGGAAAAACAGGTCTGTTCTCCTCCAGTTTTGTGCACTGTCACAAAGTGGAGCGTTAAATCCAATAAAGCTCCTTCAACAGCTCCGTGTGTATAACTGCAGTGTTTAATTCATGTATAGATTAGTGCGCAGTGTTTCACTACATGTATTATTTGATATAATTATTGTAGGATACATTTCAGGTATTCATGGGCTTTTGAAAAAACTGAGTGTACATTCTTATTTAAAATTATTTTTGTCAAAATACGACATAGATGCTTTCATTGTGCAGTTACTCAGTGAGAGCAAAATTGTAATGACAGGAATCATCTCTCTTCTGTTCAATGTCATGTGAGTTATGACGAAGTTTTCTCACACCTTGGGGGAAGAAATGTGTCAGCCAAAAAGGCGTGGGACTGGTTCCACTTGCAGTAGGAATTTTCTGTGCGCTGGCGACACTGTGATGTAATTTCTGAGAATCCATATATTGTAGTTTTTTTTCCAGATATGCTCCTTTTCCGGAGGAGATGGCTGCTTGACTGCGTAATAATGAAATGCATTCAGGATTAAGTCTTGAATCCGGCAAGATGGAGACATGCACAGGAAGATATCGAGTCAGTGTGACATAAGCATACTCTGCTTGGGATTTATTCCATTTCAAAAGCTTTTCAGTCATTTCACAAATTAACTTTTGCTGCTGGATAAGATGAAAATAAAACAGCTTTCATTTGTAACTCAAGCTGATACAATAATTTTTAGAACCATATCCAGCACCAATAGGACATTTGGATTTTCTTTGGCAGCAAAATTAAACAGGTTTCTATGGAAAAGGTTGCATAAATTTAACGCCATCGTACAAATATACTGTGTGCCCTTTTATATAAGGTACCAGTGATGTGCAATGGACCTATCATCAGAAAAAAACACTAGAAATGTATCCCATGTTAAATTTCAGATACATTTTAATCTCACAGATTTGTAAAACAAGCAGGAATTACTAAATACATTGAATGAGCCCAGCCATTCAGTACATGAACTGCAGAGGGCGCTGTTGCAGGTGGACCATTGCTTCAGATCATCATAGCGTCAGTCAGTGATGACAGCAATACAGGAGAGCATGCTGTCGCATCTGTTTCACAACTCCTGATTGTCCGTGTCCTCAGTGCTGCTGCTATGAGGCATTTTCCCTTCTTTTCTCTTTGTCCTGATCCCTGTCCTCATCCTCTTCGCTATCGTCCTCCTCCTCCTCACTTTCACTGTACTGATAGTTACAGCGGTTAGTGTTTACAAAGAGGTCGCTATCGTCATCTTCAGAATCGCTAGCATCCTCGTCCTCGTCCTTTTCCAGCTTTTTCTTTGTCTTATCCTGCGTCGAATGCTCGTCCATAAAGCCCTCTGGCCTGGAGACAAGAAAAAAATGTAAAAAGTGCAAAACATGTGACAAATGAGGCTGATCGAGGAACGTAAAGGTTGTGCAGTGTGTTCCCACCTACCAGAGGTTCTGTTTTTGTAGGTATTGAATGTGATCCTTGTAGAGAATAAAGCTGATCTCTGCCTTCACCTTCTCTCCTTCTTCAATAGGATCCACAATCACATAGTCACCTTTGGAGTGAGAAGATGAAATTTAAATGAATGAACATAAATGGGGGTCTTATTTAGACCAGTACTAGCTAGCGGGAGATCACATTACTAACTTATATGTTTGCACTACGATATATATTATTCTTTTGTTTTGAAAAGGCAATGAACACCATGACAACGAGGTTCACTGTACTGTATACATTATGGATGTGCAGCTGATAAGTCTCCAGCAAGTAAGGTGCAGTGAAATATCAAAAGTGTAAACTAACTAGTAAGCCCACAAAAAGCACCCCAATTTTGTTGTGGGCAGCAGCACACACGGTGCAGCATGAACGTCTGTGCCACAAGCCACTAAATAATATTTGCCACCAGCTGTCACTGGATTATTACTCGAACTTTTAAACACGTAACTTCCCTTTCCATTGCTTACCTCTCTTGATCCAGATGTTCTTGCGGAACTTGGTGGGCATGCTCACCAAGAAGGTCTCACCCTGAGCTGTTACAGCATCATGTAGGTTGTTACCACGGCTCCCAGTTACCTGTAAAAGTGAAGAAGCAGAGGAAACATGGAATCAGAAAAATACACTCAACAGCCACTTTATGAGGTGCACTTGTTCAACTGCTTGTTAATGTAAAATGTTGCAGAGGATGGTCAATAGACTTAGGTGTGTGAAAATGTTCAAGACAACCTGCGGAAGTTAAAACTGAGCATCAGAATGGGGGAGAAGGGCGATTTAAGTGACACTGAATGTGGCATGGTTGTTGGTGTCAGCAAGCTGGTCTAAATATTTTCAGAAACTGCTGATGTGAGACACAATTAGCACTACAATTTACAGAGAATAGTTAAATATCCACTCGTTACAACCACAATGTGCAGAAGAGCATCTCTGAACACAGAGCATATCAAACCTTGTTGTAAAGGGACTACAGCCGCAGAAGACCACACTGGGTCAGGTGTCAGCTAAGAACAGGAAACTAAGGCTATAATTTGCACAGGCTCACCAAAACTGGACAATTCAGTTCAATTTTATTTACATTAAATAACAACAAATCACAAGGAAAGTCACCTCAAGGTGCCATATATTGTAAGGTAGAGACCCTACAATAATAGAGAGAAAAGAATCAAATGACCCCCTTTGAGCAAGCACCAGTAAAACCAGGCTCAGGGAGGAGCAGCCATCTGCTGCAACCGGGGGCGAGGGGAGGCAGAAAGAGAAAAAGACACTGGGGAAGAGATCAAGAGAATAGTAATAACTAATGATTCACTGGTGGTGTATAAACACAGTGGGTGAAAACACTGAGTGAGGAAGAAACACTTTGAAGCCCCTGGAGGCCTAGATCTATTGCAGTCACCCGATTCAGCCCTAACTATATTTATGAAAAGGAAAGCTTTAATGCTAGTCTTAAAAGTAGAGAGGGCATCTTTCTCCTGAATCCAAACTGGAAACTGGGGAAACGGGGCCTAATTATTCAAGACCCTCTATGTAAGGAAAAGGATTTTAAACTAAATTATGGATTTAACAGGGAGCCAATGAAGAGAAACCAATACGGGAGAAATCTGCTCTCTCTTTCTAGTCCCTGTCAGTACTCTCATTGCAGTGTTTTGGATCAACTGAAGGCTTTTCGGTGAGTTTTTAGGTCAGCCTGATAATAATGAATTACAATAGTCCAGCCTAAAACTAGACACGTGAACTAGTTTTTCAGGATCACTCTGAGACTGGATGTTGTTAATTTTAGAGATAGTGGGAAATGTAAGAAAGACAACAGAACACTGGGAAGGCGTTGCCTGGTCAGATGAGTTTACCTCTCTGCTGCATCATTCAGATAGAAGGGTCAGAAACAACCTGAAAGCATCCTGCCTTGTATGAACAGTTCAGGATTGTGGTGGTTTAATAGTGTAACGGTTGCCACACTTTTGAGCCTTTTACCAAAGCATCACAACAGCATCACTCATCTTACACAAGTACACAGATGGTTAACAGCTCAGATTATCTCAAACTGGTTATTTGAACGTGACAATGAGTTCAGTCTACTGTAAACATTATGGATGTGCAGCTGACAAATCTGCAATAACTTTGTGTTGCCATCATGCCAACATGGACTAAAGGAATGCTTCCAGTACTTTGTTGAACCTGTGCCATGAAGAATTAAATTGGGCAAGAAACACTACTGTATAAAGGCCAGTAAATTACCCAGCCCTGTAGATGTCACACTCTCTGTGAAGGTGGATTTAAGAAATAATTGCTTATAGTTTTTAGAACAAGTTTAATGCCATCTTGTGTCAGTATAGAACATGATATCAATGGGTTGGTTGTTTGGTTGCGTCTAACAGATTTACATTAGTTTATGTTAGCTTACTAGTAATAATTAGTTTGGCTAGCTGCACTGAAACAGGAAAAATCCACTTGTTAGCGTTAATGTTTGGGTTTGAGCAGGGCACCACAGTGTAAATAAGCCTTTCTACAAGTAGTGTTACATGTCCACTTTAAGGCAGCTCTGGAGTTAAATGGGGGTCTTACCTGTACTTCCAATCTGTACCTAAGTACACAAGTATCCAGTGTATGCTGCTGATTACTAAAATGTGAATGTTGTAGTATGTAGGAAATACAGGGAACTTTATACAAAGTTTACCTTTACGATCTGCTGGTTTTCTGTGGGTGTGACAAAGTCTCCAAGAACCTCCTTGACAACGTGTTTGCGTTTAGTGGCCTGTGACATTATAACCGACAGCCTTCACGTTCCTTCGCCAGCTGAGAAAGAAAGAGTGGGTCGAAAGTTCTAGTTAACTAAAGACACATTTAAAGGCTAGACCTAACAGTAACAACCAACGCTGAAAGGTCAGCTTAATGTGATTACCAGCAAAATTTATTATTTTTTTCTTTATAAACGTCTATAAAACTTTCTGTGTACCTTAATAATTTAAACTTCCTCTGCCAATTTTCTTCTAAACAGTAAGTAGTTGCTTACGAATAATAACTTAGCGGAAAAGGCTAACATTAGCTTTCTCCACATTAGCAGGTTAAATACTACCTTGAAAGAAAGAAAGACAGGAGTGGCTGTTTGTCTTTTTAACGCAGAATGTGTCTCCGAGCAGCAGGTATGAGTTCGTGTACAAAAAGAACCTGAAATATTCAGTCACAAAAAATGGACTGACATGCGTTCTTGTTTTCAGTACACGGTGCGGGGAAAGACAGGGAACGTTACACTTCCGATGTCAAGTGGGGTATATTTTCAAAATAAAAGTTCCATACGTGTAAAATGTTCATTTTATCGCTAAAAGCCCTTTTAATGACTGGTTAAAATGTGACTAAATTTATGTAAATGAACTTCAGGATGCATTGTAATTCACCGTAAGATTATATCACTAACTTACGACGACTTTTATTTCTTATTTTAGAAGCTACTGCTAAAGACCAGCTGTTCCGTTACCTTCCCTTGGCATTGTGGGAAAATGAGGTTGTTTTGATTAAAGGAACATTCAAGAACACGAACGTTGTTGCTCCTCTATCGTTCAAAGTGTTTTCCTACATTGTGTTTGTCCTGCTTCGTCCCAACATACCATTTAAACTCATAAACAGGTTAAAATGTTTTCTCCCTTTATAGGCCGCTGTAGTTATTTGAAGTTAATTTTGCCTTATGGTTAAAGTTATTATATATGCACTAAATAAATTATAAAAAGTAATGCTTTAATTGTACTGTCAACCAGTTTATAATTTCAGTGCACATGAAAAACTTTATAATAAAATAGGGCAGCACAGTGGTGTGGTGGTTAGCACTGCTGCAAGAAGGCTCTGGATTTGAACCCATCATTTTCTTCTTGAGCATCTGTGGGTTCTCCAGCTTCCTCCCACAGTCCAGAGACATGCACTTGGGTGAATCAGTGATTCTAAATTTCCAGTGAAAGGTTGCCTGTCTCTCTGTGTTACCCCTGTGACAGACTGTCCAGGGTTTACCTCATTTCTCCCCCATGGCAGCTGGGATAGGCTCCAGCGCCCCCCAGTGACCCTGAATTGGATAAGCAGAAGAAAATGGATAGGTAGATCATAAAATAACAAACAACTGGATTTCACACTTTTTTTTAATTCAACTCCCATCATTCATTTCTCACTGTTATACAGCTATTATTGCAATAACATTGCACTAAACTGAGTTTGTGCAGTAAACCACTTCAGAATCAAAGCCTTGTTTTTCAAAAACTCTTTGAAGCACATACCATCAGCTCACCACTATGAGCATGGGCTCTGTTACTGTAAGTAAAGATGACTTATAAGCTGTTACCTTAAACACATTAATCATTTTAACCAAGCTTCAGGACTAACAGAAAAAGCAGATGTAATCTTGATTTAAAATTACTGGAAAGTTTCAGTATCACATCAAAGCTAGCTTTATTAGAGCTGGTAAAACACTGGTTTGGTCTAACGGAGAAGAAACATCAGCAGGACTTCACATGTGTGCGTGTTGAGCTCTTGTGCATTCTGGATAAGTGATGTGGAGCTGGGGTCAGTTGACAGCTGTGGTGCATGTAGCATGATGATGATGATGATGATGATGAGTGTGTGTGTGTGTTGTGTGTGTCTGTGTGTGTCTGTGTGTGTTGTCTGTGTGTGTGTGTGTGTGTGTGTGTGTGTGTGTGTGTGTGTGTGTGTGTGTGGGAGGTGTTAGGGGTTCAGTTGACTACAGCAGATGAGCACATCTTGTTGATCCCACATGCATTGGAGCCCCTGTAGAGGTTGTAGTAACCCTGTGTGAAGGAGAAAAAACAAATTAACACTCACTCCCTCACAGCTGTACATGAACAGAACTCATTTTTTCATTATGCTATGAAACAACAGTCAGCTTTGTAAAGCCTAGTGCACGGATTAGCACTTCTATTATGAAAACGGTGTTTTATGTCGGTGATCCTCAGTCATGTAGTTGGTTTCAAATGAAAGATTTTTAGAATGATAAGTGTTCTGAAAGGTCGTGCTGTCTCACCTGCTCTCCATAATCCTCCCCCCAGCTGTTTTTGATGGCCCAGAAGGGAATACCTTTACCTGAGAACACAGGGGGGAAACATTGTTGACAAACGAGGCAAAAAGATGTGTCTGTGCTTTCCAGAAACTGCGCAAATATTTAAGACAAAAAAAAAAAATGGGATAAAAAAATAATAATAATTACGTTCTCCGTATCCCACCAACAGCACAGCGTGGTCGATCATCCAGGGGTTGCAGAAAATCTTCAGAGGGTGAGATATACCCTTCCTGTAAAACTGGAGGGAATGAAATGATATTCAAGATAATGTAAGAATAACATGTATCTTAAGATTATTATGCTTTATCATCGTTTTACTTCTGTGTTTATGTAATGAATGAATGAATGAATGAATGAAACAGCTTTTATTTGTCACTAGCAGGTTGCCCTGCAGCGAGATGGAAACCCCCCCCCCGAACCTTACACTCATAACACAAACATCACACGGGGTTACAAGTCGGAGATCGGTAGCGTTACAGAAAAACACTGAAATCTACACAACAACGGGAAGGTACAAGAGGAAAAAAAGAGACCTCCACTCATGCTGTGCTTCCATGGTAGGAAGCTATTATTGCTATTATTTGGGCAGGAAATATGTCACTCCTGATATGATACAGTAACAATACACTGCCCATGATATTATACACATGCAAGAAAATGATCTACATACGACTTTGCTGTTTGATAAGCTCCACCACCAAGTACTGACTCTGATAAGTCAAACTGGTGGGGGGGTTAGGAATGTTTTAATAAATCAGTAACATATAAACCAACATTACACAAGGAGGCAACGTGACATATTCTATTGATATTTTTATTCCACTCCTAGTTGACACCTCCACTGAGGAGCTGATGTTCGTTTCATTCTGGTAAAACTTTGTAGGCTTGTAGAGTGGGGTCACATTAATGACCTATTAAAATTTAGCTTTCATCTACCAAAGTCTTCAAGTTCAATATAAAGGTTTATTGGTAAAAACAAACAAACAAACAAACAAAAAATGAGCAAAAGCCTTATAACATAGAAACTATGACTCTTACAAGTGCAGTGTGTATTGTCAACATATAGAAAATACTATATAAAGACTTAAAATATGATGTCACATTTGAACTCTGACCTTTTTGTCAAGGTCAACAGACTGATCTGAAGGTCAAAGTGATATTAATGTTGTATAGCGGGATTTAAAACTCAGTTTCTGATTGCCATTGTTAATAATGACAATGTCTTTTTAAACTCTTATATAAGACAATAGAATGGGGATTCTAACTATCACAGTATGTTTGCATCTAAATATCACATCACATTTGACCTCTGACCTCACTTTTACATTTCCATCTTAATTTCAAGCTGACCCCAAAACATCTTTAAAGAGAGGATTGTTAGAGACTGAGCTGTTTAGTTAGTCACAAATATACTTCAGTAATATTAAATAATAAGCTCAAGTTATTCGTGTCCAGTTGTTTGCAAATCAGTACTTATTATCTATCACATACTCACTGATACCCTTCTCTGATTTTGACTACACTATAAACTTCTTCAAGTACCTCTAAAAAACAAAGAAAACAAAAAGAATTCATCCTCTTAAAAATAAACACTGCGCAACGACTGAGCTGCTTTGCTTCTTGTTGTTTTGAGGAGTGATTTAACTTCTTAAAAAACCTCCTACCTGCATTGCAAAAGCATTCAGAGCAACAGAGACTGGCCCATTCTCAGCCAGCCAAGCAGCAATCTCTGAGAAGGAAAAAAATACAAAAATAAATCAAAATGAGTCAAGTTTCAAACAGACTCACTACAGTTAGAATAAGATAAAAATCATGGACATGTCCATGCAGTTAAACCACTGTTGTCTGTGTGCTCACCCTTCTCCTCTTTGGGCAGCTCCACGGAGCTGTTGATGTAGGCGGCCACCTTCCCGGTGGTGAAGTCACACCTCTGCTTGTGCCCGGTGTAGGAGTAGTCACTTTCAGTCTCCAGACCCCCTTAACCACACGAGGGGCAAAGATTATAAGAAAGCACTTTAAGGAAAAATCTGCTTGTGTTATCAGTAAAAACATCTCTCTGCTTTTACTTATTGCTAAACAGAATAAAATCTTAGTTCTACCCAGCTTCTCAATAGCTTCATAAGCATTTGATGGAAGCCCGCCTCTGCACGCCTGGTCCAGCCCGTCACAGTCAACCAGCTCTGTGAAGAACAAATCAGTACTCAAGCATGTCAAGACTTTATGCTGGATTTGAAAACCCCTGATTAATTCTATCATCTGTGCTACTTTTCTGTGTCACCTTGTTCGGAAAGTGACAGCAACGTTCCATTTTTCAGGAACCACTGGCCTTCAATGTTGCCTATGACAGAAAATGCCCAGCAAGATCCACACATTCCCTGCAGGAGAAAAAAAACACACCCTGATAAGCATAAAGTGGGCACGGTGTACAATTTAATCGCTACTAACAAGCTCTTTAGGGTGACCGCCCCATAATGAACTCTGTTTGTTGGCACCTGGTTCTTAACAGGACTGACAGCTCCATGATCCCTCCAATCCCAGCTGTCAGGCGAGGGGCCTTTGGCGGGAGTAGCTGGTTTCATTGGTTGATGGAGAGTCCATTGACTCAGCAGTGGGTTTAAGTATGTAGAGCGAAACTCCTCCTCTGGAGAAAAGCAGAAGGATATTTCACTTTGTTTTCTTAAGCTGAAGCAACACGTGGAAAGCAGAAGAGACGTTCTCTCATCAGAAACTGTGGACGTGCATTCACAGTTACGTACCGGTGAGGTCGCTGAACTTGGTGACTCCATACTCAGCTGAACCTTGGTCCAAAGCCTGGAGCTTCTCAGCAGTCTTCAGGTTCTCGTGGAAGATGCGCAAACGACGGTCCACTTCTGCAAGGTGAAGGGTCAAAAGCACATATTCATAAAAGATTCTGCTTAAAAGCCTTTCATTTTTTTCATTTTCAGTTGAATTTAATTTTGTTTCTAAAGTGCGAACAAGAGAAGAGACATATCAGATGTTTAACCTGAGACATTAAATATTTCACTTTGAATTTGATGGCACCAATATGTGTCAAAAAAGTTGGGACAGAGTAAAAAAATAAAGACTGGAAAAGTAATTGGTACTAAAAGAAAACAGTTGGCGATACATTTTGCAAGTTGCAAGTAATTGGGTTAACTGGGTATAAAAAGAGCATCTTAGAGAGACTGGGGTTCACCAATCAGCAAAAAACTACATCTACAAATTGTGGAAAAATATCAGAATGTTCCCTAACAAAAAAATGTGAAGACTGTGAATATCTGATGATCTATGGGACAGGATATCAAACGATTTAAAGAATCTGGAGAAATCTCTGAGCACAAAGGACAAGACCAAAAATAGCATTGGATGCCTGTGATTTTTAGTCCTGAGGCAGCACTGCACTAAAAACAGACATGATGATTCTATCATGGAAATCACTGCGCGGGCTCAGGCTCACTTCCTGCAATCACTGTCTGTGAACACAGTCCACTGTGCCAGCTGCAAATACAGGCTAAAGCGCTATCATGAAAAAAGAATGTGAACATTATGAAAACATGTTCAAAAACCTGCAGCTCTGACAGGAATGTGACACAATGTCCATACGTGGTATGAATGAGATTCAGTCACTCACCCTCCTGACTGCTGTAGACTTTATTGTACTTAGTCATGAACTCTTTAAACCGGCCCAGCAGCTCCACCGACTCCTAATGCAAACACACACACAGAATCAACGACAGAAAGCCTCGATCTCAAATCTAAATCGATTAGAACAGTTTAAACAAACAAGCAGACAGGCAGATAAAACCACAGGCCTGTAGCTGTAGAGCCTGACATTAATTTTACCTCCAGAGGCTGGCTGGTGGATGGATCCTCTACCTTGTTGCTCTCTTCTACTTCAAATTCAACTGATAAGAGAAATGAAACACAGGAAGACAATGGGAAGTGTGAGAGTATTTAACACTTAAATCAGTCATTCAAACTGTCATGCAGGTTGCTGCAATTCACAATTTTCACGGACGATTTTCAAGCTGATAAATATGACAGAAAGAAACAACAAAAATACAAAAAACAACATAAAATCAACATATTTGCAACATCAAATGCAAAAATGTCAATTTCTCTTTTGTTCAACCTTCCACCTCATTTATCTCTTTGTAAAACAAGCATGTAAAAAAAAATCTCATGGCCTGACTGGCTGATGTGGGTTGCTAGGAAAGTTCACTGAGAATCAGTAGAAATAAATGCATTTTAAAAGGAGTTTTCTCTATATGTGGTCAGAAATATCATGATTAAGTTATTATCATAGAACAGAAATGCTGAACTCTTTTATTGTGTTTTTTGGGGGGTAAAAAAGGTCTAAAAAATACTTGTTGATGTGTTTTTGGATGATAAGATAATCAGTGTATTTTTTAACAGCACTGTAAGAGAAGACCAAGTGAGCCGCAACTATGGTGTTCAGCTATAAATGTCTACCATATGACTTCCATAATGGGTGGTTGTGAATCTTAAATGTTGGATGATGAGTCTGTTTGGCTGCTGACTGACCTTTGGGCTGGCACTTCTGTTTGAGCAAGGTTGACGTCCCCTGCCAAGGGATGTCCCACACCTCGAAGACGCAGACTTCTGTCTGAGACATAAAAACAAAAATTAATTAGAGGAAAAGCGATAACAGCTGTTATGTGTAGGTTTGGGTCTCTTGTAAAAAGCCCCATTTATAGATTTACTTATAACTTAGATATTTTTAGTTGGGAAGAAAACAGGAACAAAGAAAAAAAAAGAGTCAATACTGTAAATGAATGCAAGCGTGAATGAGGCATAAGAGAGATCACTCCAAGTCAAGGTTGAGTCACAAGATCAAAACCAGCAAAACTGGCGCAATAAAAAAAAAAATCAATACACAGCTGGACACACACACACACACACACACACACACACACACACACAGAGCTTTTTTTCTCTTAAATATAAACTCATATCACACATTCTCTCTGCTTCTTAATTTTTATCACAAGCGCTATCTCTCTCTCTCTCTCTCTCTCTCTCTCTCTC